AAACATCGTGCCTCACGATATTTCACCACAAAATTGCAAATATAACACGACAGAAATGGAGTTAACGCGTCAAGGTCATTATCTAACTACATGCAGTTAAACCCGGATTAATCCGGACTAATCAACATAAGCAAACGCTTTCGTGACAGAAAGTACAGTATCGGTGGTCGACGGCTATACGCAGTTACAACGGTAAAAGATCTCGGAGTATTATCCCGATGGGACTTAAAATCTGTGGACAATATGCACAAAGTTTATGGTTCCAGCCTCCAGATGCTTTGGTCACTGAAACAGACATTCTATTTGGTCAAAGGAAACTGCTATCAGACTGTATGTCACATTGGTGCGCACGCTGTCGGAATATGGTGCACCGGCCTACTATCCCAGCGAGGTGAAGAAACCAGAGAAGGTGCATCACCTGGACACTCGCTTGATTCCTACACTTGGTGGCCTATCTTATCAACAAAGGTGCCAACAATTGCGGCTTCACACCTTAGTGTACAGGAGATTAAGAATCAATCTCATTACAACCTTCAGAATCCCTCAGTTGGGACACTTTCCACATCTAAAGTGGTTGTTCTGCATTGCGGATATCACCCGTGGGCATGTGTATAAACTACAAATTCCGCGGATGGATCATGTTATTCATTCTCATTGCTTCGCTCGTCGTGTGATACATTTCTGGAACTGGCTGCCCAGTCTTGTTGTTGTCGCAGATTCTGTGCCATGTTTCAAGCAACAAATTGACAACCACTTTGGCAACATGTTTCTATGCGAATGCTTTGTTCGATTTCATCTCGTTGGATGGGTATGTTACGGCTGTTTTAGCGGTCTTACAGGACCGAGACACTTAAGCCTACCGCTAGTATGGCTTGTTAAAATGTATTTTGTATGGCCGAAATCAGACGATCAGACTTGCGGCTTACACAGACCATTATCCTGCATTGGTCAGTTATGTTTTCCCATTTTTATGATGGAGATGAGACAGATTGTAATCTTATTCTCCTAATACAATGATTCTGACTGATTCGTTTTCAATGAGATCGATTCCGACCCACTGGGTTTTACTGTTCGTTGTGCGACTACGGCACAGGAAATGCTATTACAACTATGTGCAGTCGAAGTCTCCTTTAAAAGTTGTTAGTAACTTAAACACAGAAGAGTCTTCAGGATACAGAAGACCTAGATAAGGCACAGGAGTTGCTGCGTGTTTTTTTAAAAAGTTCATCGAGCGGACAATGGATATTCGATCCCGTCGTAGCCCCATAGCGTAAGCAAGGGGAAAATGGGGAACTCAAACTAAGTGAAACGGATGTCCTCTCTGTCCTGAAAGTTAAGTCACTCAGAACAGCAAACGAAGCCGAATACGCCAAAGCCAGACACCTCACATTCGTGAGTTCGTGCTCTCATCTGCACCTCCTGGCATCTCTGGATTGGTCGCTCTCCTACCGATCGGTCATTGTGATCACTGTACTCTCTTCTTTACGTGGACGCGACGACTTGTCGGTCAAGACCGAAGGATTTACCACCGAAACTTCTGGAGTACCATCCTACCTGCCTAAGAGAGGCGTCTAGCATGTTGGACTGGAATACCCCACAAGATCTTGACCTCGATAGTGCTTGGACGCTTTTGTGCTCCAAAATGAACCAGATCACTGAACAAGTTGTCCCAAGCTCAATAAAAAAGCCCTACATGGGGTCCTCCTTGGACTGATCGGGAAGTGGGCTTCTTATGAATCAGAGAAAGCAACAATGGGACCGTTTCAAATTTACTAAAGTGGCCTCGGACTATTCAAACTACCAGAGGCTCAGGAACTTATGTACTACGAAAAAGCGGGAGAAGTGGCAACAATATGAGCAGTCTGGCAGAACAGTCTGTGTCCAAACCTGAAAAACTTGACGCTTATATTAAAGAAAGGACTAAAATCGGCTGTGACAACCGCTTTGTTATCCAGTACAAGAGACTCCGTTATCTACGAAGACGACGAGAAAGCGGATCTTCTGGCCCGGCGTTGCTCGTCCGTTTCGCACTGGAGGACCCACCGCTCAACGCTCTCGACGCTTCGGATCTCGACCGGCTTGATGGCATCGAATTCAACGCGGAAAATGTTGCTCAAGCTGGATACTAACTCGTTACCTGGCCCTGACGGACTGTATCCCCTCTTTCCCAAGACAGTGGCAGATTACATTGCCACACCCATCTGCCAGATTTTTCAGCTCTCTCTAGAAGCTGGGCGTCTGCTCGCCGACTGGAAACTGGAAATAATGATGCCAAAGCACAATGGTGGAAATCCTTTTGACCCCACGACCTATCGCCCAATCTGCCTGACATCGGCAATTTTCAAGGTCATGGAAACGATTATCAAACGTGATCTACAGAAGCACTGTTGTGACCTGAACATCACCTCTACTACGCAGTACGGCTTTCAGAAGACGCTCCTGCATTACCAAGCTACTAGTGGTAGATGCCGGCAAATGCCTAGATGTTGTCTTCGTTGACTTCAGCAAGGCGTTTGATAAGGTCCCACCTCAACGATTGCTGTACAACTTCCGGGAAATTGGTGTCAGTGGAAACCTATACTCGTGGATCGCCAACTACTTAAAAAGCAGAACCATGCAGGTGCGAGTGAATGAAAGCTTTTATCAGCCAGTGCTAGTGACCAGCGGGGTCCCGCAAGCACCTGTCCTCAGACCCGAACTTTTCAAGCTATGCATCAACGACCTTCCCGAAACGCTTCAGACCGAATACCTGATTTGTGCTGATGACCTCAAGCTTTGGTCACAGGTCTCGGACGTGGATATCGCTAATAAAATACAGGCCAGGCTAGATCTACTACACGACTGGTCTACTAAGTATCGTTTGCCCATCAACTTCGCCAAACGTTGTGTCCTCCCGATTCGTGTGTCTGATGTACTTGGCACCTAACACATTGGGGGTTTCCTCCCCAAGAATGCTGCCTGGGAGAAAGACAGGCGTATTATTTGTCTCTGACCTAAAAATCACCCAGGACACACTAAGGTGAGTGGCTGCTGCTAACAGGATGTGGGGTGCCAAAAGAAAATCATTCCCACGGATGATAGGCTACTATTCGTCTCTCACGTACAACATATTCTTGAATCAGAAGTATTGTATTGGGAGAACAAGATTACAAGCTGTCACCTCCATCATAAAAATGGGAAAACATAACTGACCAATGCAGGATAATGGTCTGTGTAAGCCGCAAGTCTGATCGTCTGGTTTCGGCCATGCAAAATACATTTTAACAAGCCATACTAGCAGTAGGCTTAAGTGTCTCGGTCCTGTAAGACCGCTAAAACAGTCGTAACATACCCATCCAACGAGATGAAATCGAACAAAGCATTCGCATAGAAACATGTTGCCAAAGTGATTGTCAATTCGTTGCTTGAAACATGGCACAGAATCTGCGACAACAACAAGACTGGGCAGTCAGTTCCAGAAATGTATCATACGACAAGCGAAGCCATGAGAATGACCCTGTCCGCACAAGTGACCAAAAAGTGTCAGCTGGAGCTCCCTGAGTGGCCAATTTTTATGCCCCCCGGCCGTCCCAATTGGGCAGTTTTTGGACGAGTTTTGGTCACTCAGAAAGTTTTTCCAACTTAACCTTAACATGTACTTTGAATGCATTTATCCTAATTGCAAATACCGTCAACACTAAGACAAAATCGATTCCCAAATTGTAAGTAAACAATAATATAGCCGTTAAGCCATGCCGAAAATGTTTTTAAGTGAGCGAAATTCGTCCCAATTGGGACGACGTTTGGTCGCACAATATGTTATTTTCAGTACACCCTTACCATATACTTTAATGCATTTCTTCTGTTCGCAAACGCCGTCAACATCAAGCAGAAATCGATTCCAAAATTTTAGGTACATAATACAACAGCCGTTAAGCTAAACCGAAGATGTTTTCGATTGACCAAAAGTTAACAAAAGTGTCCAACTGGGACGGCTAGGGGCAAGAAAATTAGTCACTCAGGGAGTTTCAATGGTCACACGCGCAGTGAAAGCACGATTTTCTTGAAAAGTAACATCTTTTAAGCAAGGAACGGAGGTACTAAATATGTACAAACTTATATAGCGGCATATGTGGACATATCACGTCATTTATTTTCTTATTAACTTTCTGCCTCTGCGAGTGACCGAAAACAATCCCAAATGGGACTACTGGCCGTCCATCTGTGCGGACAGGGGATCAACATGATCCATACGCAGTATTTCAAGTTTATACACATGCCCGCAATGCAAAACGTACACTTCAGATGTGGAGTGTCCAGGTGAAGGATTCTTAATCTCCTGTACACTAAGGTGAGGCCACAATTGTTGGCACCTATGTTGATAGAATAGGCCACTAAGTTTTCGTCGCAATCAGCCGACAATCAGGCCACTAAGTGTACGAAACAAGCGCGTGGTCAGGGGTTGCATTTTATTTAGTTCATCTCGCGGGGTAGTAGGCCGGTGCACCGTATTCCAACAGCAGGCGCACCAATGTGACATACAGCCTGATAGCAGTTTCCTCTGACAAAACATAGAATGTCCGTTTCAGTGACCAAAAACAAGTTCAAGTGGGACTGGAACAGTAGAATAAATTCCTGTGCATGTTCCTTCCGTGGCGCGTCGTTGATACGGGATATTATTCGTCCGCGATAACTGGAATCTATAAGAGTCAGATCAACACGCGCGAATCACACCACGGTCAGCCAATTAATGCCCAGGCGACCTGCACTGGCAGTCCCCGCCACACCGGTCACATGAAATAAGAAACAGAAATATGAAAGTAATAAGAGCGTTAAGAGCTAAAAAGTAATAGATTTAATAATTCAATAAGGCGAATAATCTAAGATGTGAAGGGGAAAGTTAAGAACTGAAGGACAAAGGCGTCAAGTCGGTGTTCGAACTCTATGTCACGCAGATGGTTTTCTATCACATCCCTAACCAACTTCTCTAATAACTTGACAAGTACGCTTGTCAAACTTACCGGTTTATGATTGGCAGGGAGATACTTTTCGATGTTTTTAAAAAATCTGGCAAAAGACACCATTCTTCTAAAGCATTAGGAGGGTGGAACAATAAACTTTGTGCGTATTGTCCACAGGTTTTGAATTCCACCGGAATAATACATTGAGAGCTTTTACCGCTGTAACTGGGCATAGCCGTCGAGTATCGACACCGTACGTTCTGCCAAGAGAACCATTGCTTATGCTGATTAGTTTGGACGGGAACGACGGAAGTTCAATTTTAAGTATGACCGAAACAAAAGGATTATCCCGTGAGTGTTCCTTCTTCAGCGAGACGTTGAACCACGAGTTGGCAGGCTGCAATACAGATGGACCTAAAACCAAGACCGCATCACACACCGTCCAACCAATTAATGCTCACGTATCCTGCCCTAGCAGTCCCTGCTGGACAGGTCACGGGAAGTAAGAAAACAAAGTAAACTCAGAAGGCAAAAAGAGAAAGTGGAAACAGCTAAGCAAGTCGAATGCCAAGATATCTGAGTCATTAAAATAGAACTGAAAACTGAAGATGCGTCAATCAGGAAAAAGGAAAGGTTGGGTGCTGCCACCCAAGAGCATCGAGCTGGCGCGCAAAACCCTTAACCCTAGCTTCCCTAATCACATGACTTGGAAGCGGATTCCAGCGATCTATAACTCGGCGTGACAGACGATTTTCCGTCCTAATCCTATCACACCGTGGTTTATGCAGTTTCAGTGGGTGACCGCAGAGATTAAGCGACGAGCGGACTTGTCAGGNNNNTGACACAATGGGTGCGACC